TTGAAACCCATGAATATGGAATAGGGATTCCAAATTTTATACCACAAGTAGTACCATTGTACCAGAAAATAGCAATGAGACAGAATGCCTGTTATACCCTGAAAGGAAGGATGTTCAGCCGCTCAAGTCCTGGAGCCATGCTCAACACCTTTTTCCCATGATCGGCATCATACAGATCTCTCTTCTCAACTGGATGGCGCATGCCAGCTGGGTCTCTTCCAACAATGTAAAAATTGGCCCCAGCATTAATCCGAGCCTTAGCATGCCACTGCACTTCCTTTGGGCCAGCGTAGTGCATAGGAGATGGGAATATAGACACCACAGTTGTTTCAGGATCAAGAACACCATCCTCAAGGACCTGATGAAACATATTCATCATTAAACTGTCAGGCATTTGCATGAAAATTTACACAATACATAACCATTCTCCTATCAGCAACCGTTTTCAAGGGATTTATCTATGGACCTCAAATAAGCAAAGTAACAAGCTCCGCCATGCAGAACCCAGGTTTTCAATCAGTTTTCCCTTCACCAAAGAGAGGGTCCAAGAACATATGAAAGGATCATAAGAGACGGTTGAGAATTTACAAGATTTAATGGCGAACTAAGGCAAATGAGATTCCTACTTTATCTGCAACATATGCAAGGCTAAAATTCAAAAAAAAAAAAAAAAAAGGGAGTGAGTTTGATATAGAAACTGCAGAACCATTAAAATTCAGGTTGCTGGGCTTTCAGGAGGTCAGCCCCCCTCCAGATGGTATAGCAAACAAAGCAACCCTACATGGAATTACATGTCAAAAAGTTGAAAAGGTTGTACAAGAACCTTCTCATGTTGTTTCATTGGCCAACTAAACATCATCTGCCTTTGTGTAGCCTCCCAAGGGATGAAGCAAAATATGGGGTTCTTGTAGCCTATGTCAAGAAGCCAACGACGAGTATCAGTCATTAGCAAAGCATGGCCATTGTGAACAGGATTCCTGAGCTGGAAAGCAAACACAGCATCAGCATTGCGCCTTTCAAACTTTTGATGTAGTTCCACCGGTGACAGCCGAAAACGATCAAGGCCATCATGGTACTTGATTGGCTCTATAACCTCCAAGTCACCTCCAATTAGCCAATTTCCAGCATTTGTTATTGTTTCTTCAACAAATGGTAGGCCAGGGGCCGTAGTTCCCCAAGTCCTTGCAATCCTTTCTTCCTTAGGGTGCTTGTAAATCTCAATGCTGAAACAATCCAGTAATAAAGCAAAGAACAAGACAATATAGTCATTGAATTAAACAAAATAGACCTATGATTCATGAACTACAAAAGATTTCCAAGATGAATAAGTGGAATCTCAAGCAACTTGTTTGAGTCCAAGAAAGTATACGCTAAACAAACAATTGTTTCCCAAGAATTTTAAAAATTGTTATTGTCAACAAAAAATCTTAAAAGGGCATTTAGTTCGCGAAATTTTAAATTTCAAAAAAAAATATGATCCCTAAAAAATGTAATTTCAGAGGAAGTGTGAATTTTCATGATATCTCATTTTTATATTTTTATGTTTGGTTAGGAGAATATGAAATTATTTAATTATATATTTTTACTTCAATATCTTTCACTATAAAATAGATACAACAATACATTAATTATTGCGTTAATTTCATCAAAACAACACAAGAAACATAGTATTGGAGCGGTCAATTATAAAAAAATAATTAATCACCAATTATTGCATTAATTTGTTCTAAAAAACGCAATAATTGAACAAATATAATGAACAATAACTGCGTTTAGTTTTAAAATAATGTAATAATTGATAAACTTATAATAACTGCTCATTAAATCAAAAGCCATCAAGTTAAACAGATGAAAAAAATTAAATATCAAATATTGTGTTTACGATGAAAGAAACATAGTAATTGTCATATCCATAATAATTGTTCATTAAATCAAAAGTTATCAAATCATGCAAAAAAAAAATGTTCAAATATTGCGATAAAAAAAATGCAATAATTATCATACCCATAATAAATACTCATTAAATCAAAGTCATCGAGTCAAACATAAGTAAATAAATAAATAAATACCAAATATTACATTTCTGTTAGTAATTACCATACCAATAATTAATATTAGTTAAATAAAAAACCATCAAGTCAAATACTACATTTGGTTAAAAAAAAACATAATAAATAATCATAATTATTACGTTTTAAAGCTATAAATATAATATTTAAGTCAAAACATAAAAAAAGAGTACTCAATTAAATAAAAATCTTAAAACAAAAAAATCTACAATTACATAATTTTTATATGTGATTTTCATGAGAGTAAAATAAAAAGAAAAAATTTTTTATTAAAATTAAATGTAGGACAAAAATCATTTTCATCCTGAAATCTTTAAAAACCAGAGAGAGAAATAAATTTATAATTTCAAAATTTTGTATGCTGTTGAAAATTTAAGATTAACACATGAATCTGATATCTCCAACCAAACATAAAAATTTGAATATCGATCAATAACATTTAAAAAAAATATATCGATTCTCCCAACTAAACACCGACCTAAGTTTATTCATTTTAATACGAAAACTCAGTCTGAAATCCAATGTTGCTCTGACTTGATGGTGAATGTCATCGACAAGTGCGTGTCACATGAAAGCGGATGAAAGTGATCTCTCATATATCAAATTTAAGAAAAATTCATATTGGGGCATTTAGTAAAAGCACAAAAAAATTTCGATACAATAAAAATTTCTCTTTTTCTAAAAACTAGTATAATAAAATTAATATTTATAAAAAGAACTAAAATAAAGTGATAAAAAATGAGAAAAAAATTTATCCAATGATGGAATTCTAAAAATATTTCAAGTAGTGATGCTTTACAAAATCCTTAGGTAAGAAGATTTTTTTAAAATATTACTAGTGTATTAGAATATTTATAGAAAAACTTTAATATAATAAAAAAAATTTTCTTCAAATTTAAATTAAAAATAAAAAATCAAATAAAACAATTAATAAAATTTTTTAAAAAGGAGAATAAAATATGTGCAGCAACATGGTAATATTTTGCATTGCATACATGACATAGTTTTTTTTACGAAAAGTAAATTTGAGCCTCCAAAGATGAGATTCTAAGGTATTCTAAGAAATGATGCCTAAGAAATCTCTAAGTGAGAAAAATGTTATTCTAATGTTACCAACGTATTGAAACATTTTAAGAATTATTTTGATAAAATGATTCTAATTTATTTTTCTCAAATAAAATTTGAGCACAAAAAAATAATTTCTAATAAATGAAAAATCAAGCAAATTATTTAGAAAATCATTTTTCAAACACTGAAAATAAGACTGTTTTTATTAAAATCAACGGATAACACATAATTAATTAGTACCGTTTTAAACGAACGTTTGTAAAGGTGCTAATCCTTCTCCACGCGTAACTTACTCTCGAATCCAAACTATTTCGTAGATCATAAAATTATCTATTTAATAAATTTTAATAAATTTAAAATTTTGTTAAAATGATGTATTTTAATAGATGATCAATTATACTTAGTCAAAAAAAATTGATGATGACTCATTTTTTTTATTATTTTTCAAATTCGTCAGAGGAATACAAAACCGTAACGACATTATTCATTCAGATTCTGCTGTAATTAAAGAAATATTTCTAGTTTCCTCGTTTGTACACATTAGTGAGAATTTTTTTACATCAATAAAGAAATACTATCATTCTTTAAATTGAGGACAGTTTCAAATTTGTTTTTGCTTCTTAATAATTGTTGAATTTGAAACTTGGACAACAAAACGGTGACCTGGGCTCCCTGTGTTCCCTTTTATCTCGGTTTCACATTCTTTGTTTCTGCTTTTAGCTTACGGATAAATCTTTAAGTGAAATTGGTAAAAATTATTTTATTAAAAATAAATAAATAAAAACTTTAATAAAAAATTCAATCAAATAAATTAGTAGAGTTTCAAGTAAAAATTAACAATATATAAAAATATTATAAAAATATTATTTATAATTTAAATTTAATCGATATTTATTCAATAATAAAATTTTATTAATATTTTTATTAAAATATCTATTTAATAAATATATTAAAAATTTTTCAAATTTATATATAATGAGATTTTTTATTTTTATTTTAATTTATTTTTTAATAAAAATTTTACAAATTTGACCTGGTCTTTTCCTTCGTTGACTCCCTTTGATAATTTCCTGTGCTTTATATCATTGGTCAAGGTGGATGCATTGCATCACTACAAGACAAGAAATTCTTGTTTCAATTTCCTATGACAAAACCCCTTAGAGTTGTCTTTTGTTTCCTACTGAAAACATTATTTTCATTTCTCATTTTGTTTCATTTCACAAAAGCTGTCTTTTGTCTTTAGCGTACAATTGTCTAAAGAGCTTTGTAAGAAAGTTTTTCATCAATCTGGTATACATAGACAGGCGGGAGATTGGCATTTTGAACTTAATTGGACCAAGAAGCGACCTATTTCGTATAGCTAGGAATGCAACGATTTGTCACACTTGAAGCGAGAGGAACAACAGATTGCATGGATAGCCGCCTACCTCAGTTTCAGCTACATTAATGCTTTGCAGAAAACAATTAGATGGAAGCTTCGTAGTTTAAGCATATTGCTCGAGATCAAGTCAATATTGATCTGTCACAGTTGGCACATTGCACAGGACATTTTTCTTTTTGGTAATTCTTCCCCTGTAAATATCTTGTTTCTGTTTTACAGCAGCTCATGAAATCCACCCACCTCCCTTCTTTTGTAAATCTGCCTAATGAAATAAGCCTGGATTCAAAACTCAAGTGTCAAAGAGCGACGATGGTAGAAGTAAAGTACGTTGTTTAGGAATTCATATGAATTTTCATGGTTAAAACCAATGGGAACGGTCTGATGAATTTTGCAGCTAGACTGATTGACTGGTTTCTACCTTTGGTCCTTTTTGGATTAATGACAATCATTCAATCATGATTGACTGGTTTCTACCTTTGGTCCCTTTTGGATTAATGACAATCATTCAATCAACCTTACTCATTGTTAACCAATTAAAAAGAATGAAAATGGAATTTGCAAATAGCCAAACTCCCACGTGATGCCATTACTCCATTTCTTCACTTTTCTAAGATATTCTTGATGTGTTTGGCTGGTCTACGGTTTCAAAGAAAGTACAGGAATCCTACAAACTTTTCCCACAATCCATTTTCCTCCTAAGAGCACAACCATACGATATAGTACAATGTGCCTTCAGGCTCAGGGCCAATAGCACCAATGCTGGATGCCATACTGGGCATCCTACTAACGTGGAGGCAAGTTTCATGTCTCTGTACCAGTGCCTCGCACGGTTTTATTAAAAGATCTGAACAGAGAAACTTTACAATATCTAGATCACACATTGGAGATAAATAGTGTTATGGTTTCTCCCAATCAGATGGTAAATACATTATGATACAGGAAATTCATCTACGAAGGAACAGCGTCAGGAATTTTGCCATTGTCTGATGGTGTCAAGCTGTCGTAGTATTCGACCAGCACTTTCCAGCCAGCAGGGCACATAAATCCATCAGGAGTGTTCTCTTTGTTCTTTGCAAGTGTCCGCATCTGTAGAATGGCAGCAAGCATTTTTGAGATAAACTTGTTTGAAAATAACAACTAACATGGAAATCAAAATGTTTCTTTCTCACTCCTGTTTACGGTTCTTTTTCTAACTATTTATTGTGATTTTTATTCTACTGGATATTAAAATCTAGTCAACAGTGATAATAGGAAAAAGAAGATACCTTGGTGCCTGATATGAAGAGGAAGTCTTGAGCCCTTGAGGGATAAAAGAAAGCCATTTTACCTTGGGTCTTATCATACGCAGCAACCTGCAATTGAAACCCATGAATATGGAATAGGGATTCCAAATTTTATACCACAAGTAGTACCATTGTACCAGAAAATAGCAATGAGACAGAATGCCTGTTATACCCTGAAAGGAAGGATGTTCAGCCGCTCAAGTCCTGGAGCCATGCTCAACACCTTTTTCCCATGATCGGCATCATACAGATCTCTCTTCTCAACTGGATGGCCCATGCCAGCTGGGTCTCTACCAACAATGTAAAAATTGGCCCCAGCATTAATCCGAGCCTTAGCATGCCACTGCACTTCCTTTGGGCCAGCGTAGTGCATAGGAGATGGGAATATAGACACCACAGTTGTTTCAGGATCAAGAACACCATCCTCAAGGACCTGATGAAACATATTCATCATTAAACTGTCAGGCATTTGCATGAAAATTTACACAATATATAACCATTCTCCTATCAGCAACCGTTTTCAAGGGATTTATCTATGGACCTCAAATAAGCAAAGTAACAAGCTCCGCCATGCAGAACCCAGGTTTCACTCAGTTTTCCCTTCACCAAAGAGAGGGTCCAAGAACATATGAAAGGATCATAAGAGACGGTTGAGAATTTACAAGATTTAATGGCGAACTAATGCAAATGAGATTCCTACTTTATCTGCAACATATGCAAGGCTAAAATGAAAAAAAAAAAAAAAAAAAAAAAAAAAAGGAGTGAGTTTGATATAGAAACTGCAGAACCATTAAAATTCAGGTTGCCGGGCTTTCAGGAGGTCAGCCCCCCTCCAGATGGTATAGCAAACAAAGCAACCCTACATGGAATTAGATGTCAAAAAGTTGAAAAGGTTGTACAAGAACCTTCTCATGTTGTTTCATTCGCCAACTAAACATCATCTGCCTTTGTGTAGCCTGCCAAAGGATGAAGCAAAATATGGGGTTCTTGTAGCCTATGTCAAGAAGCCGACGACGAGTATCAGTCATTAGCAAAGCATGGCCATTGTGAACAGGATTCCTGAGCTGGAAAGCAAACACAGCATCAGCATTGCGCCTTTCAAACTTTTGATGTAGTTCCACCGGTGACAGCCGAAAACGATCAAGGCCATCATGGTACTTGATTGGCTCTATAACCTCCAAGTCACCTCCAATTAGCCAATTTCCAGCATTTGTTATTGTTTCTTCAACAAATGGTAGGCCAGGGGCCGTAGTTCCCCAAGTCCTTGCAATCCTTTCTTCCTTAGGGTGCTTGTAAATCTCAATGCTGAAACAATCCAGTAATAAAGCAAAGAACAAGACAATATAGTCATTGAATTAAACAAAAATAGACCTATGATTCATGAACTACAAAAGATTTCCAAGATGAATAAGTGGAATCTCAAGCAACTTGTTTGAGTCCAAGAAAGTATACGTTAAACAAACAGTTGTTTCCCAAGAATTTTAAAATTTGTTATTGTCAACAAAAAATCTTAAAAGTGCGTTTAGTTCGCGAAATTTTAAATTCCGAAATAAAATATGATCCCCCAAAAAATGTAATTTTAGAGGAAGTGTGAGTTTTCATGACATCTCATTTTTTTATTTTTATGTTTGGTTAGGAGAATATGAAATTATTTAATTATGTATTTTTACTTCAATATCTTTCACTATATAATAGATACAACAATACATTAATTATTGCATTAATTTCATCAAAACAACACAAGAAACATAGTATTGGAGCGGTCAATTATAAAAAAATAATTAATCATCAATTATCGTATTAATTTGTTCTAAAAAATGCAAGAAACGCAATAATTGAACAAATATAATGAACAATAACTACGTTTAGCTTTCAAAAAATGCAATAATTGAAAAACTTATAATAATTGCTCATTAAATCAAAAGCCATCAAGTCAAACAGATGAAAAAATTAAATATCAAATAATGTGTTTACGTTGAAAGAAACGTAGTAATTGTCATATCCATAATAAATGCTCATTAAATCAAAAGTTATCAAATCATGCAAAAAAAAAATGTCAAATATTGCGATAAAAAAAATGCAATAATTATCATACCCATAATAAATACTCATTAAATCAAAAGTCATCAAGTCAAACATAAGTAAATAAATAAATAAATACCAAATATTACATTTCCGTTAGTAATTGCCATACCAATAATTAATACTAGTTAAATAAAAAACCATCCAGTCAAATACTACATTTTGGTTAAAAAAAAACATAATAAATAATCATAATTATTACGTTTTAAAGCCTATAAATATAATATTTAAGTCAAAAAACATAAAAAAAAGAGTACTCAATTAAATAAAAATCTTAAAACAAAAACAATCTACAATTACATAATTTTTATATGTTGATTTTCATGAGAGTAAAATAGAAAGAAAAAATTTTTTATTAAAATTAAATGTAGGACAAAAATCATTTTCATCCTGAAATCTTTAAAAACCAGAGATAGAAATGAATTTATAATTTCAAAATTTTGTATGCTGTTGAAAATTTAAGATTAACACATGAATCTCATATCTCCAACCAAACATAAAAATTTGAATATCGATCAATAACATTTAAAAAAAATATATAAGATTCTCCCAACTAAACACCGACCTAAGTTTATTCATTTTAATACGAAAACTCAGTCTGAAATCCAATGTTGCTCTGACTTGATGGTGAATGTCATAGACAAGTACGTGTCACATGAAAGCGGATGAAAGTGATCTCTCAATTGTTTATATATCAGATTTAAGAAAAATTCATATTGGGCATTTAGTAAAAGCACAAAAAAAAAAAAAAAACCAACTGCGATAGAACAGGAACCTCAAACTACCTTAAATACGGATTGAATCATTTCGTTTCGTTTCGTTTTGCATCTTTTCTTTCTCTTTTGTTACCCTACCTCGCCTTTAATCAATGTTAACCTTCATGTTTCTCAAGAATGCAATACAATTTAACCAAAAAGAAAAAAGAAACCTTCAAGCATAAATTTGAAATGTAATAACTTCAAGCTTCAACATTATAAAATCAATCTTGTTTTATTAAAATGTTAAAGAATTACTCCAACAAAAATATATGTGTTCACTTAAACAGCAAAGTAAAATGGGAAACTACACCAAAAATTTGAAGGAAATGAATAAAGCATAGTTACCATTACATAATTACTATATTATTATGAGTTTAGCAACTTACTTGGTGAGAATTTTGACGGGATTATCATCCGAGTCATCGAGAGCAACTCTATTGGATTCACCGACCTTTTCCTTTTGAGAATCATCGATAGTCAAGACAATCGACACTGACATATTAACGATAAAAATATTATCGATTCGAAGCGGCGATATTTACTTGTAAAATTTAAATTTGAATTTTGTTACTAACAATTTTTTTTTTATAAACAACATAAAAATCTAATATAAGTTACTTTGTGAAACCTGCAGCCTACTTTAGACTGAAAAGCTTTCTCTTATCCTGAACTTTCTTAAACAAAAAAATAATTTTACAGGGATTTTGATGAATTTAACTCTACTGTTAGTTATTGTTTTTGATGGGTTTGAGTTTCCACCCCTTTCTGGGTTCTCTTGGTCCCAAGAGTCCAACTGAATTACAGCATCTTTGCTATGCTTTGTTTTGCTGGGTTTAATTAAACATCTGACCTTTTTGAGGTATAGCCCCAATTTTATTGGGTAAAGACTATGAACAAACATCAGATAGCCACGTAGCCCAGCGTCCTTCAACCTGAATTTTTAGCAAATTATTATCTTACCTTCCAATTTCCGACTTTCGTCCTGAAAGGGTAATTGTGAATCCAAGTTTGTAAATGTTAGTCTTAAAAAACTTTGTAAATATTAATGCATTATTTTTAATAAAAACTCTATGAAATTATGTATTAAATATAAAATTTTTGATACAATAATATTTAAATTATATTTAATTAAAGACCGATAATCAGATTTTTTTATTAAAAAAATATTTTATTCATCATAATTGAAATTTAAAATTTCTACTAATAAAATGAAAAAAAAATTACATATATAACTAAATAAAATATATTGTTAACATAATAAATTATATAAAAAATTAAAAAACAAAACTTATGAAATTTAAAATTTCATTTACGGTATACTGGATTCGTTTCCCACTAGATTTGACTGCGTTTCCGTGACTTTGCATCCTATTTGACCGATGAAAAAAATAAACATTGTCGTTAACCAAGAATCAAAAAAAAAAAAAGGCACACTTTCGCCGCGTTTTGTCTGAGGTGGCATCGTATTCTGTCCGAGAAAAATAGTTCAAAGAGGACAAGTCATTTGTACGATCTCTCTCCCTATTAAATTTGTTAAACCAAAACTAACAAGAATTCTCCTTCTAAAAATGGAACTGAGTTAGACGCACGAGCTTAATTAAATTGGTTCTTAAATTTATTTTTTTTAAATGGTTTTTAAATTTTAAAAATTGTCATTTTTTAAAATTTTTATATTACAGTCTTCTATATAAAAAGAAAATTAAATAAAACTTTTAAGTAAAGATTATGAAATTTTTTAATAAAAATAAATAAATTTATGAAATTTTTTAATAAAAATAAATAAATAAAATTCAAATCGACAAAAAAAAATTATTATTATATTAGTCAAGTTTACAAATTTTTAAAAAATTTTAAATTTTTGTTTATTCTTTAAATATTTATTTTTATTAAAAATTTTGATAAAATTTTAATGATTAGATAAGTACTAATCAATTTAAAATTTTTAATTTTTAATTTTTTTTTACTTATTATTGATATTTTCAATCGTGAAATATACACAAATTAAGATACAATTGAACCAAATATTGAATTTATTAAATTTACATATAAAAAGTACAGAATTTCCTTCTTTCTACTTCTTTACGAGAAGGAAAAGAGATTTGAACTTTGAGTCTTAACTCTCTTAAAAATATATATGAATCAAGAAATGTGCTCTTAGAATAGCCGTGTAGAAAGTAAAAAAAAATGAAAATGAAAAACAATATCAAGAAAATTGTACATAGAAAATAAAAAAATATTTCAAATTTAAAAAATAAAAATCTTTACGAGGTATCATCTAATTTAGTCACAATTTATACTGACTAATATAATATTTAGTGGAGTTGGGGTATACTTTCGCTTATCAACTTTATTTATGAATCATTGAGAAAAAAAATTACAAATCCTCTTTTTTTTAATCTTTTTATACAAAAATTCCAATATAAAATTTTATCAACATCATTCACACAAAAACTTTAATTTGAGCTTGTCTCCTCATTTTCCTAATTCCTTGCTTTCATCTAGATTTGTTCACATGTTAAACTTTAAATAAGGAGTTTTGAATTCAAGTTTATCTTGAAATGTTAAATTATTAATAAATTTTTATTTAATTTTAATTTTAAAATATTTTAATAGTTTTTATGAAAATGTTGGATTTCTTAAATTCGATGGACCTATCAAGCTAGGTTTTAAATTATTAATAAATTTTTATTTAATTTTAATTTAAAAATATTTTAATAATTTTTATGAAAATTTTGGATTTCTTAAATTCGATGGACCAATCAAGCTAGGTTTTAGATAAAATTTCAAAAGATATAATTGGACTCATAAACAATCACGCTGATTTTAGATAAAATTTTTAGAAGATTGATCTAATCCAACTCATATACACTTCTATTTCTATTCATTTTCATATTTAATTTCCTTCCTAATAACAAATAACGTGTTTTTTTGCTATTATTTTGTAACTTCGAAGTTCAAAAAGCCAACATCTTTCCTTACCTCTCAAGAATAGAATAATTATATGAATAAAGATAAGCAAATCGAGTAATCAATATTAAAAGAAACGAATATTATATTATTCAAAAAAAAAAAAAGAATCGCTTTTTGTTGAAAAGATTCAAAAGAAAAGACTATTATACAATTCAAAAGAAAAGGAAAAGGAAAAATAAATGACGAATCGAATATTGTTGCACCGAATTTCCAAAGCATTTGATGAGGTTTTTCCTTGCGACTGCGAATCTATGCTCAGCTTTAATTTCTGTTATGGAAATTTCCTAAAAGCGACTTTCCTGCATTTGTAAATTTTATGGTATATACCGAATTAATGTAAATGATTAAGGTTTAGAATTTGAAAGTAAAATACTTATATTTGAATTTTTATGAATTTTTTATAAATGTTTGGTAAATTCAAAAAATTTTAAAAATATATATAAAAAATTCGTAAATTTTTTTATAGGTTGATGACTTATTCTGATCTTAAAAACAAGAGAACTTCCTCTGTTCTTAAATTTTTTTCGATCAAAAAAAATTATCTATAAACCTAATTAAATTATTAAAAGTAAAATCCTTCTTAAGAGGTTTTCTTGTGACAGCGAATCTGTGCTTAGCTTTAACTTTTGTAATGGAAACTTTGTAAAAGTGACTTTTCTTCATTTGTAAATTTTATTGTTACACGAAATAAAGGTTGGCAGTGATTTAAGATCTGCATGTAAAGGTACCTTTGGGTTGACAATCTATAAATCTTAAAATCCTAAAAAAAATCCTTAAGAGTTGGCGACAAAAAAAAAAAAACTGTCGGTATATCTAATTAAATTATTAAAAGTAATTTAATAATCCTTCTTATCAGTTCGTCGCACCAAACGCGGTGTGGACTTTATTAAGAAAATGTTAACAACAAATTACACCTATCTTAAGCCACACACCACTAATTATTTCTATAATGATTTATTAGTTGTTATTTTTATTTGTTTAATATTTTTATTTATATTAAAAATTATTTGTTCATAATTTTAAATTTTTTATCGATACATGTAATTGTATAAAAATTGCTTTTTTATAAAATTTAAAAAATGTTTCTTGTGAGTTTGTAACTATTGGCATTGGTTAAAAATGATATTTAAGAAAAAAAATTGTAATTAATACATTATTTTTTTTATTAAACTTAGCGAGAATAGTGGATTAAATTTAATTTTTAAACAATATTTTAATTATCCTTAAATGGTTCCTATAGGCGAACCCATAAAATTTTCAACTACTAATTAATTGGGTAATAAATAATGAAATTTGATTAATTAGTTTAATCCTTGAATGTTAGCAGCACACTGTTTCCGTACGGTCTAATTTTCCTTTTTTTTTTAAAAAAAAAAGAGATATTTAGGGTAATTGCAAATTGGAAAGAGAATTCTTTTTATCTTTTAAAAAGGGATAACATGTTTATGGAAAATCAATTTTTTATTTGAATGAGTATATGAATGGGTATTATATTATAAGTATGAAAATAAGTATTATTTTAAATTTTTATTAGATAAATAGATAATAGTAATATAACATCCGTGTTATAATTGTATTATATATATTTATATATATCTAATAAATAAATTTTTATTAAATAATATAAATTATTATTTTAAATTAATTAAATTAATATATTTTATTAAAGAAATATATATTAATATATATTTATAAAAAATTATTTAAATATATAAGATAAATTTTTAAAAAAATTTATTTTTATTTTTTTTAAAATTTATGAGTACGGGATTCTCTATATTATTAAATATCTATAAAATAAAAATAAATTTAAATTTAAAATATTTATTAAATATGAATATGAAAATAAATATAATATAAATTTTGAAAATGGAAATGAAAAATTTGCAGAGTTAATATCGTGTTGCGGTGGAAATCCTTAATAACAAGATAAGACTTTTTATTGCTTATGAACGAGGAATAGCCTGAGATGTTTGACGATTGTCCTCTTGGCCGCGTTTTGCTTTGGCATTAACTGATTGCGAACAAGGAAAAGAAATAATATTTTCTAAAGCAACTTCGACGAAAGGGGTAGTGTTTTTATTTGACTTCTCTCGTTCGAGTCTAAGGAAATCAGAAAACGAAAACAGCAGCAAAAATCCAATTGTCAAAGTGACTCCCTATCACAACTTTCTTCCAATCGAAGCAAATCATTATGAAAAGCTTAAAGGTGGTGGATGTCTCAGAAGTAGCATATAAATATACCTGCATGTCTCTCTTCTTCCATATATTGGTCATCATCAAGCAAAATCAAACTATCAGCTAAGTTTTCTGCTTCATGAAAGTTGATTGTTTGCCATAATCTTTATAAACCAAATAGTAGTAAACATTTTCCTTTCATTTCTTTTTCTTTTCTTGCACAAAACATCGTAATCTGATAATAAAAAAAATACAGCGTAAGATTTCTTTCCTTTAGCCAATATCTATCATATAGTTTTTGCGTATATACTCTCTTTTTTTTTTTATTCGTTTTGTTTTTAAATTATGACTACCATTGTTCATGCAAGCATGCTT